CAGGACGTGCCAAGACTTGGGCACTGGGGCTCAAGTTGCACGACCCATATGCGTTTGGGTCGTTGGAAGTCTTCAAGTTGCGGCTCAGACAAACGTTTGAACCGCCTAGAGCTGAGTTCAGAGCTCGAACCGAACTCTTGAAGCTCAAGCAGGGTAAGCGTGATGTGCACGCTTACGCGCAATATATACGACATCTCACGAGTTGTATAAGTTCCAATCCGGTGGATGAACACACGTTGGTTTCGGTGTTCATGCAGGGTCTTGCGGGTGGTCCCGTCAAGACTCACCTGTTCCGGCTTGAACTAGATTCACTAGAACAAGCCATTTCCATTGCGGATCAGGAAGACTTCAGTCTGATACAGGCTCGCGCCAGCTCGACATCATATCGTCAACCGAGACGATATGACAGCGGAGGTCCAAAGCCGATAGAGCTCTGTTATGTAGAGAGCGAGAAGGCTCGCTCTACAGGCTACAAGAAGTTGCAGAAATGCAACAGATGTCAAAAGACAGGACAGTACGCTTACTAGTGTAGTGCCCCTCGTCCAGTGTCTCGCAACACTGGGCGTAATGACCGTCCACCCATGAGAAAGGAGCAGGGACGAGGGTCCGCTGTTGGTGCAAAGACGCAACAACGGGATGGACCGTCAAAAAACGGACAGGATCGGTAGGTGCGGAGAACCCTACTGGTCCAGCAACGTCAAGAGAATTTGTAGGCCTCTTGATGAAGGTTGCTCCCAACACACAAACGTTGTGCGTTGCTGCTCTAGGTAATGAGATCTCACTCATTACCTTGAAACTCGAAGTGACGAATAAGTTGTCCCTTCGAGCTCTAGTCGATTGTGGGGCGTCCAACAATTTTATGCGACGCCAATCGCTAGAAGATGGTCACTTTAAATTCAGTGAATGTGACACACCTCCTACGACGATGACGGTACGTCTTGCGACAGGCGCATCCGTAACCGTCATGAAGCGTATAGTGAAGATCCACTATACGCTAGAAGATACCCAATATGACGATGACCTTATCGTATTGGATTTGGATGACAAATTTGATGTCATCCTTGGAATACCGTGGCTCAGAAGGTACGGACCACGGGTGAACTGGCAACATCGGACAGTAACGATGCCTGCCGCTTGTTCATCAGATGGCCATCTGATGAACGTTTTGGAGCGTCCACAAGCGTGTGGATGTACTACGAGTGAGTGCGATGGCCTCACTTGTGGCACGGTCGTTAGTACGACTGCACAAAACCTTAGTGTACCAAACGGTTACACTTCGGAGCAAAGTTCCGGCGGCTGTGAGGAAACACAGGCTGCGCCGAAGGTCCACCACTCGAATAAGTCGGGTGGACTGGGACAAAGATGTATCCCTAGCGGGGAACATCTAGAAGAGAAACGATCGATCGCTCAGGTTAAGCGAAACGATAATCCTAGATCGACTGGAGAGTCTTTCGTAGAGGATCTCGCTGTGGTTGCGCAACCCCAACTAGAGGAAGTAAAGGGAATAAGTCCCAAGATTACAAATACGGCGGAAATAAGTTCCCCGAAACCCGCGGGAATAAGTCCCCGGGAAGCCGAAGGAATAAGTCCTTCGAAGCCTGAGGGAATAAGTCCCCAGGAAATGACAGAGACATTGAATGTCATAGTCAATAACGAATCAAGTGTAGGCGCTTATACACTTGATCTGATTGCGCCTCCGAAGTTAACTTCGGAGATCACTCAGTTGCCAACGCTCGAACATAAAAGGTTCTTGCGTGATCTGCGTAGTGGCAAAGTCAAGCAGATCTGCGTACTCGTCGCTGACGACGAGTGTGTAACCGACATAAGGTCAGCAACAGTGTTTACTGAGAACGAGAGAGTTCTCAGTAGTTCATCTATGGACGAGAGTGTCCTAGATGAAAAGACACGAATCGAGCGATATGACTCCCAATCATGGGAATCGCTCAAGACAAATCCTCTCTGTGAAGATATTTGGTTGAATTCAAGGATGTATTCCCTGAAACTGTTCCGTGCGAATTACCGAAGGATAAAGGTATTCGACACGAGGTCGAGCTTAAACCAGGCTCGAAGTACTGTGTCATGAAGCAGTGGCCACTGCCTCGTGAACAAGTACTTGCGATCGACAAGTTCTTTGCCGATCGTTTAGCTGTGGGCCATGTGAGGGAATCAACTTCCCCACATAGCTCTCCGACCTTCTGTGTGCGAAAAGCAACAGGAGGGTGGCGGATAGTGCATGCATTTAACAAGTTGAATGCTGCAACGGTACCGGCTCAAACGCCGATACCGAGGAAGGACGTAATCATTGATGGTATGTCAAAGAGTACCATCTTTTCGTCCATGGATTTGATGGATGGCTTCTATCAAATCCTTATGCGAGAACGGGATATACCCTATACCGCAGTTAGCACGCCTGACGGCATGCTCTGGGAATGGCTAGTAATGCCACAAGGGCTCAGTAATGCCCCTGCCACGTTCAACAGATGTGATACACATCTGTTGAGACCAGTACGAGAATTCGCGCCGAGTTATTTCGATGACGTATTCATCCATAGTCGAGCTATGGATGGAAAGTCGGACGTTGAGGTTCACAGGTACCACGTCCGACAGGTTCTTACAATCATGCGAAAGCATCAATTGTATGCTAACCTCAAGAAGTGTATATTTGCATCAAGCGAAATACCACTTCTTGGGTGCATTGTTGGTAAGAACGGTGTACGTCCTGATCCCGAAAAGATTAAGGTGATCACCGACTGGCCTGTGCCGGTTGATGTCAAAGGTCTTCGAAAATTCCTCGAGTTAGCGGCGTATTTGCACAAGTATTCACGCAATTACGCCGAGATGACTGTGCACCTCTCTCGTTTGTTGAAAAAGAACGAGAGGTGGTTATGGAACGCTGAATGTCAGCGCTCCTTTGAGGGTATCAAGCAGAGCTTGATACAATCCCCAGTCCTATCAATGGCCGATCAGGACAGGCCATTTCATGTGGTCTGTGATGCCAGCGATTTCGCAATCGGCTGTGCATTAATGCAGTACGATCTTGAAGGCGTTGAACGCGTCGTCTGCTATCAGTCGCGTCAGCTGCAACCAGCTGAGCGGAACTATACAGTGCATGACAAGGAACTCTTTGCCATGAAGTATGCACTCGCGAAGTTCAGAGTCTATCTATTAGGAGATAGACCCTTCATTGTTTACACTGACCATGCGTCATTACGCACGGCAGTGAACAGCCCACACCTTTCACAACGAATGGCGCGGTGGTTGTCATTCTTTGCGGAATACAACTTTACGGTCGAGTACAAACCAGGACGACTTAATGTCGTCGCTGATGCACTCTCACGTCGTCCCGACTTTGAAACAGTCGCGAAACCCAACATTGAGACAGTCACTGTTGCGGTTATGACGTCCTCAGTCCCATCTACAACGTTGTATGATGATGTGAGGCGGGCATACGCCCAAGATGGTGAGATTGTGAAGTTGTTGACACATCTCTCCCAACCATCTCGAGAATCGTTGAAACAATTGTCGCCTGCGTATCGATCTGCATCAGATCGATACACTACTCGTAACGGGTTACTGTATTATACAGCCGTTTCTGGTGACACACCACGTGTTGTCATTCCAGATGATACTGAGCTGCGTTTGCGGATCATGTTCGAGTATCACGATGCTCCTATAGGAGGACATCGTGGCCGGGAGAAAACATATCTCACGGTGAGTCGAGACTTTTACTAGCCCCGCCAGTGTCAGTTTGTGCGAAAGTATGTTCGCGCATGCGAAGTCTGTCAACGAGTGAAGTCAAGTCCTTCACTGCGTGCACCTTTACAGCCTCTACCGGTTCCGGCTGAGTGCTGGGAATCCATCTCAATGGATTTTGTCTTCGGGTTACCCAAAGACGCACGCGGGAATACGGGTATTCTCGTATTTGTTGACAGATTCAGCAAAATGGTACACCTCGTGGCTGTACCAGAGACAATCACGGTAAGTGGCTGTGCTTGTGCCTTTGTTGACACCATCTTCCGACTTCATGGGTTTCCCCGTGAACTCGTATCAGACAGAGATCCACAATTCACTGCTGATTTCCGGCGTTCCGTGTTCAAATCACTCTGAACGCGCTTGAAGATGTCGACATCTGATCATCCAGAGTCAGATGGTCAGACGGAACGTGCCAATCGTGTCCTTGAAGAGATACTTCGAGGATACGTACACTCCTTTAAGAGTTGGAGTGAGTTTTTGCCAATGGTAGAGTTTGCCATTAACAACTCGGTGCATGCGTCCACGACACATACACCGTTTTACGTGAATGGCTTGCGCCATCCGCGTGTACCCACCTCACTAGAGTGCAACTCTGGTTTAAGGGGGGGAGGGACTCGCGCGAGCAAAAACCGATTTGGTTCACGCTCATCACGCTCTGACGAAGAGGTCATTGCGTTTGATGCCGATATCGATAACATCGATATCGAAGAAGATGATGTCAGTGAGAGTGCGGAAGCCCTCACTAAAGAAAAGGTTGATGTTGCTGCAGTGCGCTCACAGCGCACTGAAGCTAACGAGTCATCAGATGAGTTCATACTGGCTCGTGAAACGGTAGTCCCTTTTGTGCAAGACTCCATCGCCGAAGCGGTGGATAAGCAAAAGCAAAACGCTGATAAGAATGGAAGGGCAAACACTCTTTTATTTAATAAAGGTGACTTAGTCCTACTGTCTACGGTTAATCTACCAAAGCATGTAGTGACTAACTTGGGTAGCAGTAAACTACTACCCAAGTACATCGGCCCATTTCGTGTATTGCACCGCCTAGGCAATGCATACACGATCGAGTTACCACGTAAGATGCGAACGCATCCCACGTTTTACGTTGGTCGGCTTAAGCCGTACCATCAGTACGCTGCTTCTTCCGATGAAGAACGCCCTTGCGCTCAAGCATCTCGCAGAGAGCCTTGTGCTCCCGATGGTGGGCATCAACAAGGGTCTGAAGAGCAGCTATCTCATCCCGAGACCGATCAACAATCCCACGAGCTACCCCTTGGCTCGTCACGAAGAGATGTCAGAGATCTCTCGTTCTCAAGCTGAGCAAAGGCAAACTCAGCTCGATGCTTCGAGGCAGTTTCCGCCATTTGGAGACGTCTATTCCGCTCATGTTCGAGATCCTCGCGTAACCCTTGCGTTACGCGATCAAAGAAGCTCTCGGGAACACACCGATCCCCATGATCGTGTGTAGAGCTTCTTTCCTCCTCCTCCTCCACCTCCACTAGAGGACTCTTGCGGTGGACAGCGCTATCTAGTTGAGCAAATGTTGAACCACGGCGACGTGAACGGACGTCGGACGAGTTTTCTCGTCCGGTGGCGCGGCTATCCCCCGTCCTGGGATTCTTGGGAGCCCCGCTCCCAACTGATGATCGACGTACTGGGTCTGGTTGAGCAGTACGACGCGGCACATCCTGTGCCGCAGAAGGACCGCCGGAGAAAGTCTTCCCGTCACGGTCGTAAAGATATTTCAGATTGTCAATCCCTTCGTACATCTCAGTAGAGATACGTACGCGCCACCAAGGGCTATTAGGGGAGGTAAGCCTCCTTAGGTGCTCGTGCAGAGTTGTTCACACAACATGGGCACGAGTCTCCCCAAGAGAGGCAGGGTAATCCTTTCTCCCTTGACAGACGATGCAGCTTGTAGCGTGCACCTGTCGGGGTTCGCTTTTCAAACTTATCACGAGCTTTGATTAGTTTGTCGTTCCAAGCGTCACGACCTACATCCTCGAGGTTATGGATGTAGGCGTTCCACGCTTGAAGCAGTGAGGGACCATCACGTTTGTGATTCCCACTGTACCATCGATGTTTGAAGAAAGCATCGATGAAGAATTCATGTTCAGCGCGATAGTTTTTCGCACTGGGGTCAAGGTGATGGATCCTTGACGAATCGAACAACCGTGTTCGATAACGATCACTCGTCGTCGCCGACAAGTGATCCATGACGGATTTTGGAGGCATCCATGCCTTCTTCTCATGAGCGAGACGCAAGACATTGCGGTCCCGCTCTTCCTGCGACGTGCCGACAGAAGGACTGGCACCTCGTTGCGAAGTGGTGTCAACAGGAAAATCGACACCACTGTGAGCGCCCGAGTCTCGCGACCTCGAGCGCCTTCGCTTCGGTGATGGTTCATCTGATGAATCAGATGAACCAAAGATGCTGCGACGCATAGCATCATCCATGCCACGCTTGGCAGGCGGCTTGGATTCGATCGCCGTCGATACGGATCCGTCTTCCGTATCAGGAGAGTACGAGACACCGAGCTCGTACTCTGTGAAGACATGAGTGTCTTCATGACCAGCGCCTGCATCACCAAGTGACACAGGCTGGGTCGCTTCAGCAACCGATGAGACATCAGTTGCTGTGGTTTCTGCTTCGGCGTCCGCACAGAGACGTGCGGACGCGCTCTCGGCGGCCTTGCTCGCGCATCGCATGGGCTTGTTAACCATGCGATGGAATATTGGGAAGTGGACTCGGACCAACAAGTGCAAACCCTGTCCCAAATGATTTGGGACGAGTATCCATTTAGTTAATCAGTCACTAAATTGACTGATGGTTAAGGGGGGGTGATGTAACGGGGTGAATCGTTACATAACAATTTATAAGAAATTGTTAATAGAATATAACTATAAGAGTTATATTCTCAGAATATTGTCATAAGGACAATATTCTGTAGCACTTACGAGTAGTTCCTAATTGGTTGATATAGGCCATTATATCAACCAACGAAGACGCGCCACGACAGACGCACGCAATGAGTGGTGAGCAGATAGTTGATTTACACATTTGTATTTAGACATAGTTAGATGAAGATAAATAGTGATTTATTGCAGACATTAACTATTATAAATACGGTTCTACTTTTTACTTTAACCAAATACTCGCTCCTTCTTACCGTCTTCCTCTGCACGTACGAGTGTACGTGAAGTTACGAGGCACCGCCTCATTCTGTCATCAGAATAAGTAGCTTGTACTGTCACCAGTACAAGCTTCAGGGTGCCCCGTTACAATCAGCGCACTTGGACACGTGGTGGAAAGGAAACATACACGCCACGTCGCGGATGTGAGGCCTGTCGCAAGGTTTACGTTGCGGAACGTGTCGTACACGGGCTGGCACCCGAGCTGAAACAAGAGCTGCAGAATGAGATCCGTAGGTGTATCAGAGTCAACGCTAGAGATTTCGATGAAGTACTTCGCGCTGAGCACGTCGAATTCCTCGAACAGGAAACACCCACCAAGAATGTTCACCTTGGTTCGTCCTAGGAGTAATTATGCTTCCTTCCACTTGACCTTGACGCGCAGGTTGCCTCCAGGGAGCTTTGAGATCTGGCCGATCTCGTGCGACGCACAAAGACGTTTAAGGACGTCACTACCATGGCTTTTGCCAGTCAGTGAAGCCATGATCTTCTGGAGTGAAGTTTTCGCGAAGGTCCGTCCGGAGTCAATAACCATGTCGCACTTGGCACGTCGCAGATCGTACGGACGCGCCCGGTCGATGCGATTAGCGATGAACGATAAGTCGTTGCCACCGGCATATTGTCACTCGATCGCCTCGATGTCGCAGGCGAGGGGAATTAGCGTCTCCACACGACGGCGGGCAGAATCGTCTTAAAACGTTTTCACGTCGAAGACGCTCGTGACGCGGAACCACAACCGCCATCGTCGGTCTAGAATCCTTGTCACTCGATGCGACGCCGGTACAAGGGGATGGAATTGCAGATTCCATAAGATCATCTTCTCTCAGAGCACAGAGAAGAGTCGGCGCAGGTGGCGGAGAAGGGACAGCCCCAAACTTGCTTGTTCTATCCGATTCCGAAGAATCTAGTATAGTCCTTTCCGTGGAAAGTACCATGGTGCCTGGCATAGCCGGGTCAGCGGCAGGGCAGAAGCCAGAGCACGGAGCAGACGAAATGTGAGTCATCAGCTCGCGAGGTAGAGACGATGCAGACACTAGATTTCCGTGGAAAATGACGAGGCAAGGGTGCGTAAGAAGGCGGGGAAAGAGGGTTCTTCTAGACTTGACGTGAGCAGTAGCTGGCAAACAGTGGTCACCTAGGTATGAAGTTCAAATGGTATAGCGCTGGCTTCGCATGCGAGAGGTACAAGGATCGATACCCTGCTTTTCCAGGCGTCTGTAGTATAGTGTTCAGTGCCTGTGCACTCAACACTCGTTCGAGCAGCCACGATAAACAATAGCATCATTACGCTATCCCATGCGAGAGAAAGGGTATCCGTATTCGGAGCCTCGGGCCAGGTCGTGGTGGATACTATCTATGGCAAGATGGCATGTACGGACACCGTGCTAGTAGTAGCACAGAAGATTGACAGGGCAGTTGAACCACCGAACCAACGAGCAGAGCGTGTGCCAGTCTACCTAGCATAAGAGTGCGCGTGCCCGGATTCGAACCAGGGATTTCACCGCCACAAGGTGAGGTACTGACCACTATACTACACACGCCTGGAGAAGCAGGGTATCGATCCCTGTACCTCTCGCATGCGAAGCGAGCACTGTACCATTTGAGCGCAGGTGTGATTGCGATTAGTCTACACATCTTTAGATAAGGACAACAAGACAGGGACTACCAACCGAAGATGTGCTGAAAAAGCGTTACTTAAGGTCAGCTGGTGACGTAGTTGAACTGCGAAGTGCACGTTGGGGAATATGCTGATGCTGACTGCTTTTGTCATCGTAACATGATCTCGCCAGCGATGCGTGGTATCGATCCACGTGCTTCTCGTTCGAGAAGAGAGTGTTCGACAACTAGAGTATTCTATCAAGACTGCAGCTATAAAGAAGAACGGTATCATGCGAGCAATGAAGTTCCCACACCGGGATTCGAAACCGGGTCTGTTGGATGAGAGCCAGATATCCTAACTGCCTAGACTAAATGGGAAAGCTGATTAGTTGACACACTAACGAATACAATCACCGCTATCAAGCAATAGTCTGCTTGTTTCAGCGCTCGATCCGAACTGCAAGTGTACCAGTGAAAGAATAACGCATGAGGGAAGAGGGGATCGAAGCCCCGACCGCTGGGTCTGGAATCCAGCGCTCTACCACTAAGCTATAACCCCACTGCTATGCCTTCTAGGATTCCTGATGGCCGATGTTGAGAGGTTGCTTCTAAAGGGTTGGGTTTGATTTGTAGAAATGTTCGCATTTGTCGATTTCGAGGGGGACAGCTTGGCCGAGTGTATGGCGTCAGCCTGCTAAGTTAATGAGGGAACCCGCTTGAGTTCGAATCTCACAGCTGTCGACTTTAATGTCTTCCCCAAGTGCATCAACGTGCCGCGCTCATCTCAACAACTCGGGCCGAAATGTAGCCAGATAGTGCGTTTGCAGATACGCCGCTACTGGATAAACGTATAGGCTTCACTTGTGGCCGAAGTGGTTCTGGACATGTGGTCCAAGTCGATGTTTTAATAGCGCACGGTGTGGCCAAGTGATGGGAACCACTTTGGTGGTCATCCGTAAAAATTGTAACGACAGTGACATGACATGTTTTTGGAGCCCCTATAGCTCAGTGAAAGAGCACCCGCTTAGTAAGCGGAAGGTCGGTAGTTCAATCCTGCCTGGGGGCAGTGACGGTGTGCGCATCCATTATAAGGCAAAAGTTCTAGCGCCTCCTTACTCGAGCAAGCCATAGATCCGTGGTAGAGCACCGATCAGTAAGTGGAAGGTCGGTAGTTCAATCCTGCCTGGGGGCAGTGACCGTGTGCCATACCTATCACATGTCACAAGTTCTAGTATCTCCTTGCTCGAGAGAGTGACTCAACAGCTCACATCTTTTCATCGCAGTAGGGGTTACGCCTCCTTTTTATACAACATACTTTGATAGGCTCACCTGCTACATCCGTACCATAGGCGGTGACGATCAGTCTATCTCATAAAGTGTCATATCCTTTACTTCAATCGAGTCATTGGCTAACACCCCGTTTGTAACCAGAGCGCTGTACGTCACATTGATACCAATCCCCGTAAAAAGTATAATGTGACGAAATCGAACCAGACTTGCACTCCAAATAATTCTCGCTAAGGGATTCAATTGTTCTCATTCCTGTTGCCCGAATCAAAGAAACAGTAATCATCTGGGGATGTAGCTCAAATGGTAGAGCGCTCGCTTCGCATGCGAGAGGTACAGGGATCGATACCCTGCTTCTCCAGGCGTGTGTAGTATAGTGGTCAGTACCTCACCTTGTGGCGGTGAAATCCCTGGTTCGAATCCGGGCACGCGCACTCTCATGCTAGTTAGACTGGCACACGATTTGCTCGTTGGGTTGGTGGTTCAACTGCCCTGCCAATCTTCTGTGCTACTACTAGCACGGTGTCCGTACATGCTATCGTGCCATAGATAGTATCCACCACGACCTGGCCCGAGGATCCGAATACGGATACCCTTTCTCTCGCATGGGATAGCGTAATGACGCTATTGTTTGGCGTGGCTGCTCGAACGAGTGTTCGTTCGATTATGCAACGTGCATACAGACACGCAT